CCCCAAAACCCCAAAACCCCAAAACCCCGGATTGGTTGGGATGGGTTGAAGAAGGTATTTAGTAAGGGAGGTTTGGAAGTGTGATGGATTTAGATGGGTAGTGTATTTTTGGGGTAAAAAAGTGGTTGTGGTGAGAATATGTAACCTGGGATCTTATTTTGGAGATAAGTATGCAGGATTGTGGCTCCTAATTAAATGTTGAAGTTCTGAGTACCAGAGAATATCATGAGTGTTACAGTATTGTTTTAAGAATTTGTTCGTTAAATGAATATATAATTTTAATATATTTACCCAATTTTAAATAAAATTTGAACAGAAAGATAAATTTTCCCAACAAAAATACAAGTTCATCAAAGCACTTAGAGCATCTTGAAAGAAGACACAATTTTTAGTATCTTTAATGACTCTAGAACAGCACTCTATAATTTAAGATTTATTGTGGTAGAATAATGAACTTATTTACCATAAATTAACAACTTATACAATCATCAAAGCAATAGAATTGAGAGAGAAATTCCACTGTGAAATCCAACATACTCTCTCAACCGACTGGAGACAAAGAGGAGTCAAACCTAGTAGCTTTTGGGGCTTGACTTAAGAGTTGGGAATCATTTGGCTGAGATTTTGGACTTTGTATTGATCCTACATATTTATATACCTGCATACTTGAAGGATTATCTGAAAGAATTGGTTGAATTTCTATATTCAAGACTCCTTTCGGAACAACCACAACCTTTCCAGAAGCACTCTTTAGAATTTTTCAAGGAGTTGTAGTCAGAATCTGCGACGCTTGAATAACAACATTCTTCCCTCCCATCACAAAGATACTATTACCTTCACAAGTCTCCTTACAACTTTGCTCCGAAATACCATGTATATTACACCTAAAATCCCTTCCTTCACTCATTCCCCTATCAAAAAGTTACCAAAACCCCCAAGACCTAAACCCTTCCACCCCACCCCTTCCTACCTCCCACTCAGCCTCTCTCTTCCTCACTCTTCACTCTCTTCAAACTTCTCATAAAACTTGGCTTCTCTTCTTCTCAAAAGTTTCACTTGAGTTTCCTTTCTTTTACCTGGTCTCCCTCCTTTTTGTGAGCCTTGTGAGAACTTGTACAAGCCACTGTCTCTACTACGGCTAAGCCCGTGCTTGGCTGGGCTAGAGTCGCAGAAGGACTGTAGGGCAGAATCAGAGGGGAGATTTGGAGGTGAACTGGTTCTAATATACTGTAGGGGATCTTCCACTTTGTAATGTTTCTTAATTTGCTTGAGATAGCCTTTCAGATGTGTCTCTATCTGCTGTCTAGCTCTTGTAGGGATCTATCAGTTTGCCAAACTTGTATAACTTACCATTTTCTTGAGCATTATCCAGTTGAGCCCATGAATCTTTAGGCCTAAAAATAAGAAAAGAATTACAGAGAACCAACTGAGAATGCTCAGAATTTGACCATGGTCCGTAGTTGTACTTCCTAGTCCAAGAGAACTGCTTTTTGATCTAAAAAATTAGAGAAACCTTATGAGAAAGAAGAGCCAGTTAGACCTACATCATATTTATCGCTGTTCATTCTCTGATTCCTAGATAATTAATATCACCTCTTCCAATATCAATAATCAAGTGACTAATTGTACAGAAAACTTATTGAAAATGCATAATGAAATTTTTATTCTGTTCGTTTGGCACTAGGACTTTGCTCATAAATATACAACTTAAGAAAGGGTATATAAAGAATGCAGAAGAGGAGTATACAATCAGCTACATCCCAATTGCCAATGAATATCTTATAATTTTGTGCGTATCAGAGTTTAACATACCAATAAATAGACCAAAGTAACAGTTAGCATATCAAAACCCAGAAGTCCTAATAATATCTTCGGGATATTCTACCAAATATATTAATTCAGCAATAAAGAGACACTAAGGTTTGACAGATAGTAGACTAATCATCAAGGATGGAACACAAAGAATAAGAGGTAAGGCTTTTAAGAAGAAAACGAGCATCTTATTCACCAAGTCAGCTCTTGATGATTACTCTGTGTTGAGATTTAATAATCCCTTAGTGAGTCCAAGATTTATTCCGTAGATCAAATAAGAACTTCTTAAGTTATTATCAGATCATTTTCGAAATGATCCTTGTATTGAGGAAGGTAATTTCATAAATTATAATATGCCAGATATATGAAGCTATTAGAAATACTTTAGTAGTCTAGTTGGAGGAACCTTGTGATGAACCCTTACTTTCCTAATATCAAGCTATTTGATTTCAAAAGTGCTTAGAATTCATGAGAAGGATCCTAAGACAACTACTTTTGTTTGATCTAAGCCATAGAGCCAGCAATTGAGATTTTACTAATGGACTACGATCAAAATAGGCGATAGACAAATTCCCTTAAAATCTAGTTTAACCATTCTCTTTTATAGATTATGTATATTTGCCATTGCATAATTAGCGGCAGAACTTTTCCAATATATCACCAAACAATATTAATAAAAATACAAGCTAAGTTTCTTCTTACAAATTCAGTGCCCACAGCTGGGAGGAAGTATCAGCTGCTTTAATAAGTAAGCATCAATCTTTTACTCTTGGTATCAGAGGCTTCATAACGATACATATTTCTAAAATAATCGCTAAATTTAGCAAATCAGCCCTAATTATTCTCGAATTACTGAATCAGCAGATATTCTATCATGGTTCTGACAAATGTGCTAGGGTGCATTACTCTCTAACAAAGCTTCAGAGGTTGTGCTTTTCAGTGATAATTTTAGGAATCAGAATTTGCATCTTAGCAAAACAAGTGGGAATTAGGGTGGGATGTTCAAGAAATAACCAAAAATGGGCATCACTTTACTATTTTAAGCATTTCCATCGTTAATGAAAAGGTAAATTTACACGGGTAAAGGTAAAAAGAGAAATTTAAAAAGAGGATGAAATAGTAATAAATCATTCCAATCAACCCATTTAAGTAAATTCTAATCACAGAATACTTCCTGGCTTGTTCTCACAATTCTTCTATTCTCTCAGAAGCTCCATTTCTTATCTTAGGAGCAAAAGAATTTAGTGTAAAGGATAGCTCAACTGAAATCAACATAATTATTTACCAGGAAAACTTGAGATTATGAGAGACTAAAACCTTGTAATATACTGAGTAAAGCCATCCCATTTAGTTAGATGCTCATAGATTAACATAGCCCAACTTATATACCCAATTTGCCGGTGAATTATTGAACCAGAAATCTATGCTGAACTAGTCAGTCTCCTCCTCACAACCTAATTGGATGCCTTTACTCAGCATCTGATGTATTTTTAATCTATAGTAACCTCAAGGCTTTATAATAAACTTTGATTCTTAATTAAGTTAAGCTGTTATTACTCCAGATTCTCTTTCAAGAGGGAAAGCAACTGGGTTTTTGAGGGAATAGGAAGGCTATTGAGTGATTCAGATAAAATTATGATATCAAAATTGATTTGATAAGACGATTCATAGAGTGATAGCTCCTTGGGTTTAGTTAGTAATTACATCCACTCCTAATGCATATACCAATTTGACTTCTGCTGAAGCACCAGCATCTTCGATATTTTGAGTATGAATTCTCTATTTTCGAAGTTTTTACCTCTATTTTATTCCGCTAAATCTACTAGGGCTCGATTATTGAAAATTTTAGCGTTGAGTAAAGTACTTTTGGTGATATCAAACACTTGGGATTTAGCTTAAAGAGTCCAAGGAAAGACTCCTAACTGGACTTACTAGTCCTTACCCATTTTCACAAAATTGTTTGAACAAGGTCTGAACTAATTTTTGAAAATCACTTATTAAAACTAATTCTATCAAATACCAAATTTCTCTTATCCTAAAGGGTTTGAACTTTAGCGAAATTATCAGCCAAGAGACTCTAGCTTTTCAGGTCATCCAATTAACTAAGAAATCCTCCATTTAGCTTGTATGAACACTATGATACATATGTTATTGATTACAGCACTTGAAGCAATTCTAAATGAGCTGAACATAAAAATCGGGGAAAGGGATGTTATATTTATCCTTTGCACTCCTCTTCTTGTCTTTTTAATGTATCGAAATTCACTTGTATAATTAATGTCTCTTTAAGTGCTGGCTTTGACAAAGTTTACTCCACTCAGATGCTATTTATTGAGTATTATGGTACAACTGATATTTCTACATCTCCTCTATCTCTGATTTTAGCATGGCATAATCTAGAAGACTAGCTTATACTCTGTATAAACTATTTTGCCTAGCTGGTGTTTCCTCTTTTGAAGATTCTAGTAGTTTCATTTCTGACATTATATGAAAGCTCAAATTATGAACTTTGAGAAAATGACTAAGAAGTGATTATAAAAGTAAATACGCGTAACCTTAGAAGAAGTGAATTCTTATGATTCTCGTATTCACAAAAGTAAGTTTAGTAATCAAAACAGTCTGGCCTTTCTAAAATTTACAATTTTACTAGGAGTATTAAAAATGCTGTCTGAGAGGATGTCTTATAGAAACTGTATCTACAAAAATATCCATCCTCTTCAGTACTCAAATAGTTGTTCTGGGGATTACTGATTACAATCAAAATGAGGAGATTTGAAAGAATTAAAGCTTATTGTTCTCAAAATTAGGAGCAAAATGAGTTTATACTTGCTCAGATGTTAATTACTCTAACATATAGAGACAATGAGCCAAAATTCTGCAAATTATTGTTATCCTAACAATTTTATTGCCCTTTGAAAGACTTCTTTATTTCTTAGTGCAAAGCTAGAGAAAAGGAGCCATATTAATTTTAGACTCATTATCGATAATCGTTGATTGGTGGAAATTTCTAGTAAATTTGTCAACAAGATGATTCTCGATAGTATAGAGTTAATAAACCTTCCCTAAAATCGAAACAAAGCAGCTGTCGCTTACACTATTGGAAACAGCTCCTAAAAGTCTTGGATTAATCAATCAAGGCAACTAGACATATAGGAGATTACAGAGAATAGAAGGCTTAAAATTCATATTTCCTCATTGGAATGTTTGAAACTAGCTAAATTTCCCATACCATAAGTTTAAAAATGACCAAAATCTTGAGAAACTTTTTCTCCTTCAAGGACGATATACTTTAAATATAGAAGTGATGAAAATTAAAATATGTTCAAATTAGAATAAAAATAATAATTTTTGAGTTTTACAATAATCCTAAAACTTTCAACTTTGAAACATTAAATTGCTGATGAAATCGAACCCACAACTAACTCTATGGCTTCCTTCGATCACCAAAACCTTATTAGATCCCCATAAAATTCACTTATGATGCATAAATAACCCAACTTTCATATTTTTCTCTCTGTAGAGACTCATAAAAACCACTTGTTTTAGCTCTCAAGTTCATTTTTTTCAACTTACCTATCAATATTAAATATTATATTCAACTAATTTGTTCACCATTGGGGTTTTGGGGTTTTGGGGTTTTGGGGTTTTGGGGTTTTGGGG